GAAAAGTGGAACCACTTCTTTTCTTTTATCGTGCCTTAAAGATTAATAATGGTATAATGATATGTATGGTATCGCCAAATTCTTACCAATACACAGCCCTAAGCTTCAGCAGATGTTTTCTCAAAATCCACTCCTGGTCTATCCATAACTAGGGCTGCCACCAACGGTTATTTTTATGGMYGACTAATCACMGATTTTTTAAAACTTGGTCATAATCAAAGAGATCTTATTAAAAAGGTAAAAGAAGACGACACAGGTTGATCTCAGTGTAAAACTCTGTGGCTTATTCCTTTAATGAATGCTTTTTGGGTTTAATTTAGTTCAGGAGTTGCAGATTTGCGGTGTTGTCAGCAGTTTAAAGTGAATCCGTTTCTCTCCCTTTGTCCGCTCAAATATTTACCTTCAGCTGGCTTCTGTAGCGTTCCTACACCGTGGTCAAAAATCACACAACAACCTCATTTTTCAAAAAATGGTACAATGAAAAYGAAAGGTCAGTGTGTGTTTTCATTCACCTGCACTGACAGAGGGAGGGTTGGAGGCACCGCGGGGAGAGGAAGAAAAGAAACGTCCTGTAAAGACGAGGAGATGTTTTCGCTCTGACAGCTGGGTGTAATTAAGCAGCCGAAGGCCTGCTGATGCCTCGGAGCGACCAGGGAGGACGACTGTGGGCAGGAGAGGAAGTTAACAAGATGCTCATTTGTAAAGGAGGAGAGGGGAGGAGGAGATATGAGGAGGGGACTCAAGTGGGCCGTAATCTGATATTTGACACTTGAACTTGTTAATGAGGACAGTTCAGTGTTTGTAAAGCTCCTGWCCTGAAGTGGTGCATTGACTAATACAGTTCATCGTACTAATAACATGTCCATGTTTAAGGTCGTATTCAGACCTGATAATTTGCTCCGTTTTAAATGAACCAGAGTTAGWCTCCAGCGTTGGTCCGGACCTTTTGTGCAGGTGTGAATACACTCGTGAACTCTGGTGTGGATCAAACAACCGGACCGAGACCTGCTTTTTGAGGTGGTCTCGGTCCGCTTCCAAATGAACTCTGGTGCGGTTCATAGGCCTGTGTATCGGCAAGAATTTGGCGATATGATACATATCATGACAGAGGGGTCACGATACGATATATCCTGATATATTGCGATATTTTTGGTCCAAAAATTCTATTAAATAAAAACTTCTTACTGGGGGGAAAAAACCCGAAAAACCAAAATTC